CCGGCTGTGCCTGCGCTCGGCTGCTCCCGGGGGACCCTGCTCCGTCCCCTGTAAGGGGTACTCATTCTTCAGAGCCAGATCTTACGTCATCCCCTCTGGGACTTTGGGTTCAGATAGATCCGGGTCTGAATCTCAGCGATTAGCGAGTGACCTTGGGTGCGTGACTTGTCTTCTCTGAACCTCGGTCTCCTCGTCTCCAAGGCGAGGAGAATAATTGTACTTGACACGGCCTCGTGGTGCCTGGAAGATGAGATCATGCCTGTAAAGCCTGTGACGCTGTGACGACGGAAGGCCAGCGCTCACTAAGGGGTGACGGTTCTTGCTAGTAGAGTGATCTGTGCTTTGTCTTACTCCTCTGCTCACCCCGAATCTTTCAGGGCGCAAACTACCCTGTTCGTCACCATTTTCTAGGCGGTGTCTCACGTGGAGCCTGGACACCGCCCAACCTCCGGGGGCGGGTGGGAGCGGGCAGGGTTCCTGTCGTCCAGTCCTGCACTTCTGCATCCTGACACTAGAGGGCAGCAGGAGACCACAGACGCGTGGGAAGCCGGCCGCCGCCCCCGATGCCCTTGCCCTCGGCTGGCCCCGGCGGTGGTGCGACCGGGGGCTGGAACTGTCCTCTCGTTCCTTCGTGCCGGGACAACCTGCAAAACACATGAGCCAAGAGCCCGGTGTTGTGGTCCTTTGGGGAACTCCCGGGCAGTTCGCTTTAGCTGACTGGTTTAAGGGTTAAATGGGTTCACGAATGCAATAGGCTTCGAGCAAGGCCCCGCGCATAGGAAAGAAATCGGGCCTATGGTAATGGGCCAAATTAGGGAAGCGAATAAAACGCATCGAGGAAATCGGAGGGAGCTCTGCAACCCCGAAGCGCGAGCCGGAGCGCAGGCGCTAGACCTCGTGCCAAGCGCTTTGCAAATATTGTTTCCTCCCCAAACCAACGCCGAAAGGTCGGGTCGGTGTTTCCGTCTGCATTCTAACCAGTCGTGGACTGAAGGTTCGCGTCCCCCGCCCTTTGCCCCCCCCACATTTCTATGTCGAGGTCTTACCCCAGTGTGAGGAGGCGGGGCCTTTGGGAGGTGAGAGGTCGTGAGGGCGGAGCTCTCCTGAATGGGACCAGAGCCCCTATGGGAGAGCTCTCCCTGCCCACCTCCTCCAGGCGAGGACCCAGCAGAGAGTCCGCATCCAGGAACCAGGAGCGGGGAGCTCACCAGTGTCAGCTCTGCCAGCACCTCCATCTCAGACTCCCCGGCTTCCAGAACTGTGAGCGGTAAATGTCCAAGCCGCTCGGTCTACGGCATTTTTGTTACAGCCTCCTAAACGGATGAAGAAAACCACGAGGAACGAGATCAGAGATATCACGTAACTTGCCCATGGTCAGGGCTGTGTCTGACTCTAACCGGCGTTATTTGAACCTGCGCGGTGTGCCCCACCTGGCCAGGCTGTTTGTTCGATCATCATCATCCTCCTCATCGTTATTATCGTCATTGTCATCGCCCAGTAGATTGGTCTAGATGTTTATTACTCAGGGGTGAGATCAAGCTGGTCTTTTCCTGTATGAGATGCTGTGGCATTGCGGTGACTCCTGCTGCCTGGAGACATTAGGAAGTGTTCAGCACAGAACAGGGACGTACATGCTGCGCGCCAGAGCTCCTGGCATCTGCGGCAAAGGCCGCAAAACGAAAGAGGATTCGAGATTTAAAAGTTTTTACAGAAATGCGAAAGGCTGAACACGAACGGCCTAGAAGTTAGTCCCAGGCGGCTGCGGTCACGCCCGGCTCGGCCACACGCTTGCTGGCCGACTTCCTCTCCTGTCTCATCTGATTCCTTCTGGCGCCTCTGGCTCCTCCCGCTTGGGGTCACTGCTCAGAATAAACGAGGTCCTCGTGCTCATTCTTTTGTCTCAGACTCTGCTGCTTTGGGGGAACCAAGCGGGGAGCTCTCCAGAAAAGGTTTGAAAAGTTCTGCACCGTCCTTTACATTTTTAAGTTGAAATCTAATTCTTCTGCTGTGTGTCTAACTAGTTACAAGGGATACAATTTCTATGTCGTAGATATTGGCATTTTGCAATGAAATCATTGTTTTTCACTATTGCGTGGGAATTTTAAACACATTCAAAGAAAAGTAGGATGAATCCCATGCGTGTTGCCCATCTTTAATCATTATAAGATTATGGTCGCTTACGCTATATTTACATCTCCACTCATCGGCTCCCCCCGGAGCTGTTTTTTTAAGCCAATTCCAGACTTATGTCGATTCTTCTGTAGATATCTCTAAATCAAGGACTCTCCCAGCAGTTGCGTTCAATATTATCGTACCTTAAAGAAACTAATGAAGCTTTACGTTATGACGTATCCAGTCGGCATCCCCATTTCCGGTCACCTCGTAAAGGTCATTAATTTCCTAATAATTTATTTAAACAGATCAGAATAAGGTCGGCGCATTAGAACGTGGATACACCTACTACATTTATTTTAATCTTTAGACCGTCTGTCCATTTTTTGTCTCCTTGGGATTTTTTATTGAAGAAACCACGTTATTTGTCATCCAGAGGTTTTCACAGCCTGGATTCTGCTGGCTGTGGCCTCGTGGCGTCACCCCATGTCACCTATGCTTCGGTTTGGTTTTGCCTCCGTCTGTTCGTATGGTGACACTTTTCCAAGTGACTGCCCTTGGGCAACTGGGTGGGTTTTACGTCTCCCTGGGGTGGCCCTCGGCCAATGTCCCATGGGAACGAGGGTGGGGGAGCCGGCTCTGGAGTCTACCTTCGGCACAGCTCCGAGGCTGCTTTTACGTTCCGGAATTTTCTTGCAGGGTCAGGTGAAGCTACGCTCCATGTTCTCTGCCTGAAACCACGTGTTTTTTTTTTTTTTTTTCTCCTGCACGTCCCGCTTGTCCTCCTCCTGTGCCGGTGTCCCCGAGAAGCGCTGCCTTAACGAACCACTTGCAAAAGAAGCGTCATCTCAGGAAATGCTCCTGGGGAGCCCGGACGATGATGGCTCATGCCAGCTGTGCTATTTGCTGAGAGGCTGACTCTGCTGGTGGGGTTTGGAGTCAGCTCGCTCACTCGAAGACACAAGAACGTCCGAGCTTTGTAATTACCATCTCTTATGGCCAATGCGGGCGGATACAGTGGACGGTGCCGCCTGGCTTGTGGGACATCTTTGACATTCGAGATGTACAGAGGAAGCGATAGCCTTGAAGACGGAGGAATTGGCTGATTGTCGCCGGATGCGATGGATGCTTTACAGAGAAAAACATAAACGCGGGCCGTCCAGTCATTATCTTCAGAGTGACGTGGAAGTCGGAAGGCCCCCGCAGCGGCGTTTAAAGAGGCTCTCACCTCCCGCAGCGGGCCCGAGACCTCACGGGGACCTTCGCAGAGGCTAAAGGGGCAACATCCAACTATTTCTTACGCTAAGGGCGGGACTCGGACGGAGAAGGCTCGGAACCTCGGGCCTCGGCATGGAAGAGGGGAAACCGCAAGCCTTGCGCTTGATCGCACGGAACCCCAGGATCTCTTGCGTTCTCCCAGCCTGGAGAAGGGGGCCGCATCCCCACTGGGCAAAGACTACGAAGGATTTTCAACCGAAGCGGATGCCTCGTAAGACAACCCTTGTCTCACTCAAGATCTGCCCCGCCGCCTCTCCTGGTCATTGGTTCAAGGTCTCGGCAGAGCCAGCTGGGTCAGGAAGGGAGAACCAGCCCACCGAAGGACCTGCGGGCAACAGCCCCCAGGTGGATGCACAGACGGCGGTGCCGTTACCCAGACGACGACACTTAAGGAAGAGAGACAGTGAGTGTCGCTGGAGGTGGGGATGGGGGGAGGGGCTGCTAAGTGCCGTTCGGACCTATCGACTTGGGTGCCTGTGGCCATCCCGGGAGCAATGTCCCTGACGTGTGCCCATGCTCTTGGGAAAATGGGTAACTTGACGATCTGCCTGAGACGATGTGGTTAGACACTCAAAGGCAGGGGAGCCCCAGGAAAGAGAGAGCCCCAAGTCCTGAGGGACCGATGGCAGGGCTGGCCACGGAAGTGTCAGAGAGGGCGTCAGGTGCAGTGACCTTGAACCCTATTTCTCCAGCCTATTCGGCAGTTTGGCTTCCACGATTCCAGGTGGCCCGACCTTCACTTCCTTTAGTGACGCTGTCACGTTCCCCGTGAGAGGCCAGTCCTGGGAGCCTCTCCCCTCCCCCACCTGGCCCGGTTCTGCTCCAAGTGCGACCCTCAAGTCGTCCTTAGCCAATGAGGCAGCCACAAGGCTCTCGGGGACCATGATGGCACTCTACAGAGAGAGAGCCCGGGAAGGGACCAGGACCCAGAGCCCCGACCTCTCAGAGCTCTGCGCTCCCCAAGCCCACTCAGGACCTCACTCTGCTGTATTCTGGGCCGTGGGCCGGGACTGGGCTGGGTGTGTGTGAGAGGCAGTGCTGAGGTGGGTAGACCCTCCCCCTGCCCCCCTCCAGAATGACGGGCCCCCCCTCATGGCTGGACAGTGTTGCTTCCAGGGGCCCGACAACTTGTTTTTGTTTTCATTGTGTTGGTTTGCTTTCTTTTTCAGAAGCTGCGGAAGGTACTGGAATGTACTGGATGGAGCTGGGAGCAGATTAAAGAGGGATGGAGATGTGTGCCCCCTTTGGGAGCTGGCCGCGAGTGTCAGTTGCAACCTCCGAGTCACACACAGGTTTTTATGTGGTGAGAGACGGGACAAAGGGAAAAACAGCACAGGACCTCGGGACTTCCAGAGTTTATTTGGCGTCATCGTGCGCTCACAGATCCGGCTGTAACACGGGGGTGACCTCAGAGGGACTGCGGGACCGTCCACAGGCAGAGGCCCTGGCACCTGAGGCTGGAACTGGGCTCATCAAGAGCAGCTGCTGGGCAATGATCTATCACAGAGACATGCAGAAGGTCAAGGTCGGGCAGGTTCACAGATGAGGCTGGGGACCTGAGGGAAGTGAGGCCACTGGCTCTCTCTTCACTAGCGGGACATTGGCGGTGGTTACTTATGTTTGGGGGGCCACGGCACCTCCCGCTTCTGCTGCTGCTGCTCTGCCGGGGGCGCGACCTCTCCCTGCAGTGGCTGGACTGGGCGGGTCTCTTGGACCTGGCCAGGAGGAGCAAGGAGCAACGCGGGCGGCTCCGGCGGCCCCTCCCGCTGCTCCAGGGGCTCGTCTCCCTTTGCCAGCTCTCGACCCAGCTGCTGGTCCGAGAGCTGCTCACTCTCTCCCAGCTCTTCCTCCAGCTGCTGCTCCGGGCTTTCTGTTTCCTGACGGTCCTCACGCTGCTGCTGCTGCTGCTGCTGCTGCTCCAGGTGCTGTTCCAGGTGCTGCTCCAGGTGCGCTTCCTGCTCCTGTGACTCTTGCTGCTGCTGCTGTTCCAGGTGCTGTTCCAGGTGCTGCTCCAGGTGCTGTTCCAGGTGCTGTTCCAGGTGCTGCTCCAGGCGCTGTTCCAGGTGCGCTTCCTGCTCCTGTGACTCTTGCTGCTGCTGCTGCTCCAGGTGCTGCTCCTGGTGCTGCTCCAGGTGCTGCTCCAGGTGCTGCTCCAGGTGCTGTCCCTGCGGCTGTGGCTCACCGTCTTGCTCTGGCACCCCCTTCCCAGGAGCTGCGTGTTTCTCCCTGTGCACCGAGGGGACCTCCCCTGGGAGCTCGGGGGGCACCTTCTGGCACGGGCCGGGCGGCAGAGTTGGCTGCTTCGCCTGCTCCTGCTGAGTGTCGGCGGGAGGAGAAGCAGACTCGAGGGGCTGCTGCCTGAGGGCAGGGGGCAGGGTCACTGGCAGAGTGGTCTGCTGGGACATCTCAGAAGCTGCTTCGGGTCAGCCTGAAAAACAGGAGAGGTCGGAGGTCGGCAGAAAAGAGGAAGTAGACGAATCCCGGTGAATCCGCCACAGCACCCCCTCTCCCCTGGAGTGGGGTACTCCCCACAGCCGTCATTCTCCAGAAGCAGAGAGTGAGGCGGGGAGAGGCCCTCCTGGGAGCCTCCTGCTCCCCTGCAGGCATCTGTGCCCCCTGCTCCGTCTCCTCCTGCCTCCGCCCTCATCCTGACATCCGCTGACCAGGGAGGACAGAGCGTCCTGGGAAAGGAACGGTCTCCTGAGTCCCGGAGGCCAAAGCCCACACCAGAGAGGACCCGACAGGCCATGGCGTGAGCCTGGAACGGGACTCACACGACGTATGGCTTAAATCTCCCGCCGAAATGCTGTGTGCTCCTGGGCAAGGCAGCCAGCCCCTCTGGGCCTCAGCCATCTCCTCTTCACGATAAGCAGATGGGCCCGCTCAGCGGCAGAGCGTCTCTCTCTCTCCTGACCTCGAGCTTGGGGCGAATGTGTGCTCCTGGGCAAGGCACCCAGCCCCTCTGGGCCTCAGCCATCTCTTCGCGATAAGCAGATGGGCCCGCTCGGCGGCAGAGCGTCTCTCTCTCCTGACCTCGGAGCTCGGGGCGAGGGCCGGAGGGAGGGGGCGGCCGGCCGGCTCTTCCAAGGCTCCACTTCTGAGGCGCGCCTTCCTGTCCCTGCTCTGCCTGGGTGTCCCCACGCAGAAAGCTTTCCCGTTCTGCAGTCCCCCCCGTTTGGCGCACAGCCAAGAGTTACAGCCTTTCTGTGAACACCCCGCCCCCATAAGGAGGAAAAATCACCGTCGACCCAAATCACACAGGTTTAGGAAAGAAATTGGCCATATTGTCCTGCACTGCCCCGCCC